AACGTTTTATAAAAAAGAAATTAACATACTAAAGCGTACGTTGTTCGGATTGGTACTTGAAAGGACCTCTATTGACCTCGTTGAAAGTCGATAAGTCGAAAGCCTCGATAAACCAATCGCATCTTGTTCATGCGAGCACGTTTAATTTTTTCCCCATTCACCCACTAAACCCCTACTCGTCGTTTCTTCCTCATTGTACGATTATAATTTTCATCCGGTATATTAACCATCGTACGATTTTAAAAAAGGGGAAAAAAAATATATATATATATATATATATATATGATTGATGATCCATTTTCGCGAGAATCTCATTTGTTATTTTTTTCTTCCCTCAACCCTCTCCCTCTCTCTTTTTCATACCAATTTCTCACCGACGCTATACAAGGAAAGAAAAAGAAAAGAAAACAATTAAAATAAAATAAAATAAAATAAAATTAAATTAAATTAAATAAAGAAGAAAACTATATAGAAAAAAGAAAGAAAACCAATTTCACCATCAATAATTGAATTTTTTTAAGACCATTCGCCCGTGTCGTTGCATTATCGTAAAAATGCACAATCTCCGTGATTTTAATTATTTTTTTTCCGTGCTCGTATAGTTGTTGAGGATAGAATGAAATCGAAATAACATAAAACAGAAAGAGAGAGAGAGAGAGAGAGAGATAATGTGTGGTTATATATATATATATATATATATATATATATATATATCTACTTGCGTTTTCCTATTCTTCTTCCTTTTTTTTTTAGGTTCACCGGACATCCAATTTCCATCGAAAGTGCTCGGAAATACGTTTTAACTTATCTTGCATGTGCAAAGACAACGTTTTTCCATGAAAGATGATTCTCTTTTTCGAGAAACTTACATTGAAAGAAAGATTGTGCGTGTATATGTGTAAAGAGATAGAGGGGGGTGGGGGATGGAAATAGAGACAGTAAGATAGTAAAAGATAGTAAAAGATATAAAGATATATAGATAGATAGAAAAGTGAGAGAGAAAAATAAAAAGGAGCTTGTAAAAAGCTTTTGCTGCTTGCTTCCTGTTCATCCTTTTATAGTACTACCTACTTTTATTTCTCCTTCTTTTCTTCCCCCCTCCTCCCCCTCACTATCTCTAATTCTGTGTCTTTCTGGGTCTCTTTCTCTCTCACTCTCTCTCTCTCTCTCTCTCTCTCTCTTTTTCTTTCACTCTTACACCAACTGTTCTTTAAGGTACTTTTCTCAACCCTAAGTTTTCTCGTCCTCTTCTTTCCCTCCTTTCTCCTACCTTCTCTTACTTCAACATTTGATTCACCCTCTCTTTAAGCCCTTCTCGTACAGTTGCGAAAGTACATAACCCATATTTCATCTCTTCCTGATCTTTCTTATTCTCCTTCTTGTTTTTCTTTTTCTATAGATAAATATATGTATGTTTATATTATAAACAATTATAATATATACGGAAGAAGAAAAAGAGGAATTATAAATATAAATTAAAGTACTTATAAAACTCATAAGGATTTTTTTGAGGATGACAATTCAACGAGTTGCGATATTTTAAATATTATTCTTTTCGGAATATTATAACTTTTTTGATTTTAATTTATATATATATATAATATTTATAGTTCAATTACTATAATTATTATTTTTATTTATTGAGAATTTTATTTTTTTCATGAGTTCTATACAAAGTGGTATACACTTGTATATGTGTGCCACGTAAATTACTTAATTATATATGCAATTTTCAACATCTTGATGAAAAATCAAATGAGTACTTTATACTTCCGCTTAGATACAACCCAAAATATTGTTACAAACTTTTTTTCATAGAACATATAATTTGCGAGTAATATAAATGACAAATCTTAACGAATTACCGTTTAGAAACAATTAAGTTTTTATCTCTGATTGTAACATATTTCATACGTACCCGTTTTATTATCCAAATTACTCTACCCTGCTTATTATTATAACAACCTTGAAATTCGTCATCGTTCGAAAGAAGGAGAGAAAGAGATAGACAGACGGAAAATTAAAAGACAAAAGTTGTCTGTAAAATTTCGTAAAAAATCATTATCGTAAAATACGTACTTAGAAATACGAGAAAAAGTATAACAACAATAATGACGATTTAACAAGTTTGCCAATTATATTTGCTATAGAACTATACAATATTCTTGGGGAAAAAACGTAAGATTACGACGTAACGGGATTAACGAGTTTGTTATTATAAAATACACATATCGATATGTGTATCTTTTCCTTTCTTTCTCAATTTTTCTTTCCTGTAAATATTATATAATACATACATATATACATACATACACACACGTCCAAGCATGCACAAAAATATATATTCTTTTTTAAAAACCTCTTTTTATTTTTTATTTTTTTAATTTCAAGTGTATTATCGTGGAAACGTTAAAATTGCAGATAAAAAATCATCGTCGTACCTGAAATTCGCGTTATGATCCATATTCGTTAGGGCCCGCTGAATGCTGTAACATTTTTTTTTCTACGAAAGGTGAGTAATTACGATCATGTCGTGTATGCGTCTCGTTAATCTTGTTATTCGTTCTATTGTTATTGTTGTTGTTATGTTTTTTTTTTTCTTTTTTTCTTAATCCGTTCGCTGCTTTCAATTATTCACACCTCGTCGTCAATTTGTTTTGTCCAATAATTTTCTTTTGTTGTTCTCCGTTTCGATCATATTCATTGGATTTATTTTTGATCGATTTTATGACATTGCAAGTAATTAATTATAGTTTGAAAGAAAATTCGATGTCCAAGTTTAATGGTTTCGTTATATTATTATTGTTATTATTATTATTATTATTATTATTATTATTATTATTAAGTGAAACAATGAGTAGATGTATAGTAGCATAGTGAATTAAGGTAGAAACAGCTTCTAACGATTATTTGTAATCCTTTATTGAAAAGCTTATATTAAAGTATTAAAGTTTAATTTAACAACAAGTAAACGACGACAGGCTGACAATTTCGACACGCCACGTCGGCGAATTCAACATCCGGTTGACTAGTTGGAATTTGTATATATATATATTATATATTGTACATACATGAAGGAGTTCAATCGTTAATTTCTGTTTGTGGTCGAAACTCGTACATATATGCGTATCTACGTAAACAATTTGTAAATTAATGGGCTTGTTTTTTGCTACCTATGCAGAAAGAAATCTACTTTTATTTTATTTTATTTTATTTTCTTGTTTTTTTCAACTAATTGATTGTCAGAAATGTGTGATATTTGATATTTTGTTGAATTTTTGGAAAAATGCACGACATTTTATTTTCATCAAATTATTTTCATTTTAAAATTAAACAATATCTTTGTAAATGAATTACAAAATGGCTACAGGACTATTAAAAAAATTTGTCGATTAGTTCAGTATCCATGCCAACAATAGTTCCATTCAATCGATTATAATATTCTATTTTTATGGTATTTATAATAGATCGTACAGTAAAAAAAATACGTGGGTATCACGAGCGAAAAGTTAACTTATTATTGTTATACTCGTAATTTTTTTAACTTAACTTTTTTTAAATCTCTTCCATGCATCATCGCCAAAAATATTTACCTGTCGTAAAGCAAAAAAGAAAATCAATTTCCTGTTTAGACACAAATGATTATCGTTTCTATATCAGTATATTATTTTTTAATTTAAATTAAATTAGTAATTTTTTTAAATGTCGATAATTATATTATTGGTATATTAATAAAAAAAAAAAATTGAAACAATTGATTTCATGATTTATTTGATAGTAAAATTATATATTTTATGACACATAACTTATTTTATTATTATTAATAGAATTTTATTAATCTTGTGTCTTTATTACTCTTCCTATCACAGGTTTAAGGGGTCTCGTATTAATTTCGTGATATACAATTAATTCATAGAGAGTTATAATTAACAGTACAATAATGATTTGTATTATTTTTCATATTATGTCACACATTGTTCCAAGAAAAAAGGGTAAATATTTTTCTATCGTTGTGAAACGAGAAAAAGAAAATAGAAATAGAGAATGCATGATCGATCGATTCTAAGATTTTATTCTTTATTTTAGTATTTCATTTTTCTTTCGATTTACAAACACAAAAAAAACTTTTCGAAAGGTAAATCCATATCCTTGGAGTACTAAGAAATCTGTAAATACAATCTCTCGAGTATCCTTTCTTCTTCTTCTTCTCCTTATTCTTCTTCTTCTTCTTCTTTGTTTTCTTTTCGGTTACTGTTCTAATATTTCCACATGAAAAGCGGTAAAATTCATATCACGTTCCGTAAAGATACTCAAGATTGTTATTTGTTCTTCTATACTCGGTCCACGTATAAGCATACTTTGAACGTATTCGATCTTATTTTTATTAGATCATGATCGATTCTTTATACATTCATGCAAAAAGTTTCCAACTTTTGACTAACATAAGAATATACAGGGTGTCCCACATCAAAAAGAGCTCGAAAAAAGTTTTTTTTTTTATTGCAATGTATAGTCAATCAAAATCAGATCAACTTTTGTTTAAAGTAATTTTTTGGTCAGGTTATTGGAAGTACTTGAAAAATCGTGACTAGAGTTATATGGGACACCCTGTATATATATATTAACCATATACCAAGAATTTTGTATAATACAATATTAGTTTGTACATTTTTCTTTTAATACTTTATTCCATTACAGTTAAACATTTCTATTCTAAATCAAATTTCAAATAAATCATATCGATGAAAACGTGAATATTTTAATAAGAAACGGAATAAAGAATCATTCACCTTTTTTTTTTTTTATTAACATTACAAAATATATATATAATAAATAAAATACTTAATAAGAATCTTGAATTTTTTAACGATATGTTTTTATTCATAGTTACAGTAGCGCCTTAGCATTCGAAGTGTACGGACGTTCAGAGTGTTGATCCGCGTGTTTATAACATTATTGTTTACATTGTACGTATAACGAATAAATACGTTACCTGGTTG